CCAATCTTCTGAATTGTTTGGAGGGACATGTAATACAAGGGAAGTAAAAAAAACAAAAAAACAATAAAGATCATCTAAGCTTATCTGAGACTCCAAAAAAAAAAAAAAAAAAAAGCTCCCTTGGAGAAAATATAATTTTGCTTTCCAAGTAGGTATCTATTGCAAATAAATTCTTAATTAGGGGTAGAATTTTGTGTTCACTTCCCCTTCTCAGTTCTGTAATTGTATACTGCTTAAACCTGTGTAGGTCCTTGTGATTACTGCCATGGTCTCTTGGTTCATATGTATACATTATACATACAATACACTTGATCATATTTATCCCACTCCCTACTACTTCCTGTAACTCTTCCCAGATCCTCCTTCCATACCATTTCCCAAGCCAGTCTTATGTTTAATAACCTACTTAGTTCAGTTTGCTGCCTAGCTCCACACAAATGTGGGGCCATCTACTAGAGCATGCTTCATCTACCAGGGATTCCATCCCTAAAGACAACCCATTCTCTCCCTTTTAACAACTCTTCATCTAAGCCATTTATTAATATATTGTTTCTAAGAAAAACAGACTTCATTGATACTTAGTATGAGCCATTTTATTTTTGTAGGGGAGGGCAACAAAGAGGAAACTAAGACATAATGAGGTTATTCACCATTAAGTCTCTCTAACAACTGTCTAGATAAAAAAAAAAAGCATGAGTCCATGCTTAGGTGGCTGCATGGCTTTTGGGACATCATGGCAAAGAGAATGTGGTGTACTGAAGCTGCATTCTTGGCAGTGCCCACAAATCAGGGAGAGAGGAAAAGAGAACAGGGAAAAATATATAAAAACCTTCAACCAGTGACTTCTGTACTCAGCTAGGGACCGACTCCTCAGAGTTCATTGTGCTTTGACCCTCTCTACAGATTATCCCAGAGTCCATATGATACAAGCATCTCATAGTACCAGCACTAGCTGGAGCAATCCCACCAGACATGAGCCTGTGGAGACATTTTATATACACACTGTCATACACGGCCACCATCTGCTTTTATTAACTAGAGTGGAAATAGACAAAAATCCTAATATCTTGTGCACAGCTTTATTTTGCACTTACCATGCTTCTATCTACACAGAGTACCTACTTCTGATTAGATTTTGAATTGTTTCTTGAATTGAATGATATCAATAGACATCTGACAACAATTAGAAGACAAAGACACATGATACACCATGGCATTAATGAAGAAGAGGCAATTTTCTTTGTATGATTCGAAAAGCAGTCCACAAGACCTTCGATCAAAAGCTGTAAAGATCCTCAATATCATACTTATTAGAATGTACTGGGAGAAAAACACGGTGGAAAACAAATATTGAAACCCTTCGAACCTAGTGAAATCCTAAAGACATTTGCATTCAGCTATTGCTACTGGATATATTATTCCAGCATTCTTGGGATGTAGTCCAGATACTTACTTATATTATAATGCAGGTTTTTGTATAGTGAAGGCATTTTTAGAACGCCTTGGGACTTTGCAGTGATCAAGCTATGAAAATATAAGGACAGGCCTACAAGTCTGTTTTTAAGTACTATAGATCATAACTAAAATTGACTAAATGAGACTAAAGAGACATCAGAAAGGTAAACAAGAGCCAGGCACATGCACGTTAAGAAAACAGACTGATGAGTGTCCACTCTGTATAATCACACAGCCACTCAGGAAGCTCTTGAATTTCCCCATCCCTCACTTCTCTCTTGTGGAAACTGGAGATACTAACAGGAATGATTTTATTGGGTGGGTTCAATAATAAATACACAGAGAACATTTCCTGCTCCTCAGAAAGCATTTCTTGAGTTAGTTTAACTCAATATGCGTATTCCACATATTGGAGCACTTGCAACTTGGACTCATCTTTAAATGTGTTAGTTTGGATATATACCCATGATTTACTCCCAAGTGAAAGAAAATAGACTGCCAGAGTGGAGGAAATAAACACTTCTACAGCCATAAGCAAGAAAACACACAAAATTATTTCTAGTTGAATATATTGATTAACACTTAAATTGGGCCCCAAACATTGAACAAAACCATCGGCTACTGTTAATAACGCCAACGCCAAGAAGGCTGGACCTGTGTGGAAAGTGCATGGTGTATTCAGACATTGCTGCATTAACTGGCTCATTATAATGAACACATACTACTTCCTTGATTTAGAAAATTACCAATTTAATCTTAATAAAGTAAGTGTGAAAGTCTCGGAGCCAAAGTCACTGCTGTGTGTTATAGATACGGCCTGAAAAGGAGAAGCTAGAAAACTGTGATGAATCCTGAATGCAAAGGGTGGGATAGAGATGTGTGAAATGGCAGCCCGCAGGCCTTCAGGTAGTAGTAGTGCACAGCAGCAAGCACAGAAACAAACCGCATCATTGGATGTGTATTAATACAGGAAATGCCCATACAGGGACATTGCCACACATCGTTTTTAGAGTGTGTACTTCCATTTCATAGCCTTTTATTTACAGCTGAGTAAAAACTAGGCTTGGTAGGAAAAAAACACTCTTCAAAGCAGGAAGTTAACAGTCTGACCCAAGACACTCTTCACTGCTCCCCTGGAGTGTCTGGAGTGGGAAGAGGAAATACCTTGCCATCCAGTGGTGGGACGTGAGATTCTGCTTTTGATCAGTCACCTGCAACAGTAAACCTCTCTGACAGAGGCCATGCTGGTGTGTGTACCTTTAAAGGTGCATGCTAGCATCTTCTTCAGAAGTGCCTGGGGCTTCCCCACTAGCTAAGCCCTCTCTCTCTGCAGAGGGCTGATTACCCTGGACACGAGAGGGGGAAGATTAATATATTTCTTCTTGGAGATACTAAGAGAGGGGAAAAATGAATATATTACTTCTTGGAGATACTGTATCCTGATTTGACATTTTTATTTATCCAAACCTTTAAGCTTATCTTGCTTCAAAGGGGAAAAGCGGCTTTCCCCACAAATCTCAAGGCTTAATCCACTATCAGCTAGAGTTGCTACTCAGGTGTGGTTAATTTTTCCGTGTCAGCTCACCCGGCCCCTCTCAGTTTGTTTCCCCCGAGCGAACAAAAAACACAAAACAAAATCAGCAACTTGCTCCGGGATTAAGGTGCAATCAATGGCAGCCCGAACAGGGAGTAAATCTCATTAATTGGGTACAATAGTAGCTTGTCATTCCTGTCTCATAGATCCAAAGAGCTGTAAGTCCTAAGGACTTCTGTACAAGGTCAGCTGGCTCTTGGCCCCCACCTACTCCAGTTCCCAGAGGGCCTCTGACACTTGACTCTGTGGTATTCAGCTGGTAGGATGTGAAACAATAAGGCTTAACTCAGGCTTTTGATCTGGTTGTTGAACATTTCTTAGTTGCTCAGTATTTTACAGAAGTAGAAAAATGTGCTGATAAGAATCTCAGTACTTAAAAAATCCTACTAAGTTATGCACGTATATTAATTATTAATCTCTGTGTGTATTATGCTTGATTATGTCTGTGGTAGGGCATGAACCGTGCTTGTGCTCTGTGGACAACACAGGTCAACTTACTGGATGCATCCTTGAGCACTCTCTGCCTTATTTCTTTAAAATAGAGTTTTTCCTGTACCTGGAGCTGACTTATTGGGTAGTCTGGATGCCTACCAAACTCTGGTAATGCTCCAGTCTCTGCTTCTAGCACTGTGATGGCAGGAGCCATTTTTACTTCATGAACCTCCCCACCCCAAGATTGGAAAAACCTACCCTTAATAGTCTCACCAGAGAGAAAGGAACAAGCTGACTTTGTATTTGAGTGGTCTAGTACCACCTTCTCCTGTGTGGTTCTGTGTATTTGCCACAGTGCAGGTAGGCCTTTGTGTGCAAATGCCCTCTACCTCTCTGAGACTAAGCTGTATGTCTCTTAATTGTCTACTCTATGGTTTGCACAGCTTATGACAGGTACACTGCATGGGCTTTTATTCTTGTGAATGCACACACTAGAATGCACACACTATCAGGAGACACAAATTTACTGAGTCATGAACATTCTGATCAAGGCTGACTGAATTTAAATAATGCACTAGGCGCTGGGCACTAAATGTGTTAAAGAATTTCATGATTATCAAGTCACCAACCAAAACAGCGAAGCTTTCGGGTACAGTGCTGAGCATTAGCCTTGCCCACCCCCCCCCCCTCAGTTTCACGTAGACAAAGCTGATGTCTCTCTGGGATTACAAGATGAGCTGGGAGTAACCATTCAGAGGCAGTGCTCTCCTGGATTTCAGGGCCTGGTGCAGGCATGGCCATCTGATATAGGCTGGCTAGAATGGTAACATTTAGAGGAACGAGAAAAAGGCACTCTATAGAAAACCCAAAGAAACAGTAAAGTAGATTGTATTGGGTTACTGAACATTTGTCTGTTGTTTTTTTTTTTTTTTAATTCAGACTGATAACACCCCCAAAACATCTTTGCTTATGAGATATTTTGTCTCTAAATGATTTGGATCCATTCATTTGACATAGTAGGTTCTTTTCACACAATTTGTATGTGTATGAAGTACAACATGAAGCCCTGAGATACAGGTATATGCACATACATATGTCTGTGGGCCTGCCTGTGTGCTGCTTGGGAACTGCAGGACCATGGACAGCAAACTGCGAAAGCCAACCCCTGACAGGAGATTGGCTCCTGCAGACTTGGAAACTGAGGTAAAGTTTTCTCCAATGGGAAACTCAGCACCTTTCTTCACAAGTTCCCAGATCAGTGAGAACCTTGGGAATCAAAACACATTAACAGTTAAGGAAGAGGGGAACACAACAGTCTCACTGACCACGAGAAGAAGGCATTTCTTCCGCCTGCCAAAAGACAAAGTCTATCCATCTCCACAGGAGACAGAATGAAAAGAAAGAAAGGCATGCACATAACCAGAAACCTTCCCACCAGGAAATGAGACTTCAAGAGACAGCACTAGCAGACACCAGGCTTAAACAATACAGTAATTAGAGACCTAATTTATCTACGTACCTCCAAAGTGAGCTCTCAGTGATGCTCCCAAGGTTATAGTCATACAACTTTGTCAAAATGAGAATCACCTGAAGGCAGAAGAAGAAATCATGGTTAGTCTCAAACAATTACAATCTCTTAGAACTGAAATGGCCCAGGGGAGGGCTTAGGATTCCTTTAATGGGCGCTTAACATAATTGAATAAATTGTTACTGCTTTTCAGCTGCAGAGGGCTGGCAGGCTGGTACTGAACTGCTCTGGCCTGATGCCCTGCCCACCATTTTTGGTGCTACTCCACAGACAGTGATGCCTATTTTGTCTGTGTATGACTTACCCTGGTGAGCTTAATATATTCTAGGAAGCTTACACAACTAACTGTCAAATATATACACTTCAAGTTAGCTCCTGAGTAAATACTTAGGAAAGGTCAGCGGTGAAGTTCCCAGCTCCCATAGCTGGGCCGCATGGTCCACCATCCTTGATTCCTGAACCTCAGTGTGCCCATCTGAGAGTGCCAATAAAGGGCAAGATGCTAACTCCTGGGGAACACTGATGTGAAGAATAAAAACAGATCATAACTACAAATTATGTAGAAATTAGCACGGGTGTCTTCAGTATTCGCTCCTTCCCTTTCTTCGTGAGTTTGATTAACTGTTTCTTCTGACTTCACACTGAGAGAGGAGATTCTATACCATAGAAGGGAAAAGCAAGGGCATTGTACCAAGACAGTTCTGGGACACATGATTCCTGAGACTTATAAAGTTGGGTATGGAAAAGCCTCCAAATTAGGAACAGGTTCCGAGAAAAACGGATCCTGAACAAATTCCTCTGCACTTCACAGAAAAAGGTCCCTTTGATTTGTTTCGTGTTCCCATCCCTACTTAGAGGAAATCAAACCACTTGGTTCACTTATTCAGAATTCAGGAAATATTAATTGATCATCCATAATATCCCCTCATTCTAGAGGAGAACACAGATAGCACAGTGAAGATTAGAGTCTGTGACCCAAACATTACAACATCAACAACAACAAAACTTCTCAGAGGCCTGATCCTTGCTTTTCAGTGCTCGTGACAGGCTAGGTCATCACAGCAGGTTGAGATGACAGCATCATTGGTACCTGTAGCCATGAATAGGCTCCACCTGACTTCCTGAAGTACCCAGGCCCCAGGGTACCTGTGGACACAGAGCAGCTCAACCTATTTCTACTTCTAATGACCGTTTTTTGTTTTGTTTTGTTTTGTTTTGTTTTGTTTTGTTTTCTGTCTGTTCAGTCTTTGGACAAGAGAAAGAGAGGAATTCATTGCTCCGTTCAGGGTAGTGTCCATGGTCTAGCCCTAGACCTTTTGGCCCTGCTATAATGTTTCCAACTCAGCAAAAAAAAAAAAAAAAAAAAAAAAAAAAAAAAAAAAAAAAAAAATTCACATCAATGTCCTGGATTTTCTCTGTAGGTCTCAGGATCAATTATAGCCACAGTAAGCACACAATGTTCTAACCTTGAATTCCGAGGCAGTGGCTGCCAGAGCGTGCTAAATACTTCCAAATTCCAGGTGACTGACACAGTGCCTCATTTAGGAAGCAGGAGCATCCGTGATTCTTAGCACTTCACAGAAAGCCAACTAGGACTCCTTTCTAGGAATTGGAAAGCTATGTTACCCAGAAGACGAACAGAGATCCCTGCAGTCCTGTCATCTAAGGCTGCTCTCTCCTGACCCGCAGTGTGTGCTGCCATCAATGATCTTTTCAGAACTCCCTTCTTCAGCAAGACTTGAGCATGTGTGAGGTGTGGGCACCCTGTGGGCACATCAGATGGCATGCCTGTGGTGGGGCATATGCTTAACAGATCCCTGTGCCAATTAAGTCACCCTCAGTGCTAAATTCCAATCACAGCCAGCCCAGGAACGCTGATCAGTGGCAGCAGGGTGGCTGTTTGTTTGAAGACAGAGAATCATGTGGCTCCATCCCAGGGTGATTTTGCCAAAGAGGCCTATAAATCCCCCACCAAGGAAATGGGGTGTGGGCAGAAAGTATTTCTAGGTAGTTGATCTTATGATACAACATAGCAGTAAACTAAATAATGAAGTTCAGATGGTCACGAACCATATCTCCCATTCAAGTGACAAGGGGCTTTGGAGGTGCCCAGGAGTAGGAACTCTTTAACCCCATGTGACACGGTGTGAGTCAGCCTGCCCGCACACACAGTGATTATTTGTTTCCCAGGGCAGGCAGGAACAATGGTGGAAATCTCTGTTCTGCTTCCTCTTGCTGGACTAGTGAAACTGACAATGCCCATGATGCGGGCTGCAGTTAATCACAGGAGAGTCATCCTTTGTAACGTTTCACGGCATAGCTGTTCAACCCAATCTAATCTCCCTGTTTTTAGAGCCAAAGCAAGACGGAAAGGCGACCTTCTACCCTTCACTTATGTGTTTAATCGATTACCCGAGGTCTCTCTTCCCTTCATTCTCCCCCATGGCTGTACACATTACTCAGCCTTCACTCCTGGGCAGCTGAGAGATGCAACGTTCTGTCGGAGCTCTGATGTTGTTTATTAGTGAGTTACTGCTCGCTTCTGATTAGTGGTGCTATTCAACAAAATCCTCATATGTTAAAGGGGTCACAGCTCAATTCGCTGCTCCAAAGTGAGGATAAGTTGAAAACCCAATAGTGATAGTATCCTGGTATTATCACATTACAGCTTTATATATTTTCACATATTAAAGAAATCAACAGAACTGTGGTAAAATTTGTTTAAATAATATATAACTCATCATTTATTTTCATTGAACAAATAATTTTCATGTATAGGTTTTCTTAGTTCAAAAATATGACAATTTTAAGTTTAATGGAAGCAAGGGTATTTTCATTTCTCTGTGTGTGTGTCTTTCTGAGTATATGTATGTGTGTGTGTTATATGCATGTGCTCATGTAGAGGCATGTGTGTGTGTATGAGAGGGGAGGCCTGGAAAGATGCAATATTAGGTTTCTTGCTTTATCATTTTACATCTCATAATTTGAGACAGAGTCTCCCAGTAAAGCAGGACTGCACTGATTCTACCAGATTGGCTGGACAATGATCTCCAGGGATGTGCTGTCTCTGCTTCCGTGTGCTGGGGTTACAGATACGAGCCACTACACCTGGTTTTGTCGTGAGTGTTGGGACTCGAATCTCAGGTTGTCCTCATGTTTAAACAACCAGAACACTTCTGGTAGGACCATCTTCCCCGTCCCTAGCAAGGTTATTTTGACAAACATACACCTACATGAAATAATGTCCATAAGCTTCCTATTTATTGCTATATGTTGATTTCATTGTACAGCGCCCAAATGCCCCTTTTTAAAACAGAAGACACTAATCCTGATGACAACCTTCATATGTTCCACTCCAAGTCAGAGAGTATGTTCAAATAGCTACGGCTATTCAAACGACTACATATACTAATAATAATACAAATGACTATGAACTGATAACCTTTACTTAACAGACTATCTACAACATCAGCATGAAGTTATACCTGGAACTTTCCACAGTAGCATATCAGAAGTGTCCTTTCTAACCAGTCTCAGAACTCCTGTTAGCACATGAAGTCTGCCTCTTGTTGTGAATTCTTCCTTTTTGTCACATTCTTGCCTTACAAAACCTTACTTGGTTCATACTTAAAGAAAATGTAGCGCCCACCTACTGAGTCATTGTGTGGCAGCCATCCATCCCTTACTACTCTGTATGAGAAAGGGTGATGTCTTTAAAGAAATGGGCAAAGGTTTTCTGCTTAGTGTAGAGATCAAGTCAGGCTGGGCCCCAGTGCAGCCCTTGTCCAGAGCCCTCCATGCTCCTTACTGAATAATTGTATCAATGCTGACCATTCAGTCTCTTGCATGAAGGTGAGGAATTGTCACTGAGGACTTTGTGACATAAAAATGCAATTCACTCCCTCAAAGCCTCAGCCCTTTTCTGCTTTGTATTACAAAACAAAGCGTTGGTAGATATAAATAGAGACACTAATATATGCATGACTAAACAGTCATGTCCCACTGTAAATTAGTAAAAGCCAGTTAAAATCCTTTTGTACCAAAATAGCTGGACAAGTGTTCTTTCTGAGTGTGCTTAAAATTAATTAATTTAATTGAAACAGGGTTGGTTAACACACACAAGTCTCTATTAGGTTAGGCAAGTTATTAGCCACATAACAACTTTGAATATGACAATTTTTTATTGTTACCATAAAATATAATTTAGAAACAAAACCCCAAGCATTTATAGAACCCTCAGATCAGCTTTTTGGGAATGCAATTTTGCATGGCATGTACTGGCCAATGACTAAGAGTCATAAAGCAGAGGCTGAAAATTCACTGTTCACCTTCTAAACAGCAGCACTGGAATTTTCTGCTTCTTTTATTAAGAGAAGAAAGTTTCCCCTCATCATTAACTAAATGAGGCATTCTAACCCCACGGGAAGGAAAATTGAATGCTATGAGTATGCCATGCATTTATCAGGACATTTGACTTGCCCACTAACCTTGACATACCTTCATCTGGGGAAACTTAGAAAATGGGGACATGCTACCATCTCTGATTTTTCTGCCCCTTCGCCAACTGCAGAATGCTCAATACTAAATGGAACGTATTTACTACATCCCGTCCTATAATCCTGGAACATTGTGGAAGACTGGGTAGAAACAGTGTAATAGAGCTGCTCTTACCTACAGGGCAACAATGTCTTTTGGACACAACAGGACTGTTGTGAAATATTAAAGATGTGTTACATTTGTTTATGCTGTGAAACATTTGTTTAATGATGCACAGATGTGTCAAATTCTTTTGATTTGTTTATTTATTAAAGATTTCTGCCTCTTCCTCGCCACCGCCTCCCATTTCCCTCCCCCTCCCCCATTAGTTTAACTCCATGGCACTGTATTACATTGCCTGTCTAAAACACCTGATTGATCTAATAAAGAGCTTAATGGCTAATAGCTCGGCAGGAGGAAGGATAGGCAGGGCTGGCTGGCAGAGAGAATAAATATGAGAAATCTGGGAAGAGAAGATTGAGGAGCAGGCAAAGAAGAAGGAGAGGAGGACAACAGGGGCCAG